CCACGTCTACACGTGGCCGACTTCCTAAATAAATCCTTATTTCAAAAGACCTCTGTAAACCTCATTGTAGGAGAAATAAGGGGTCTTTCGAAATAGGGGTTTATTTCGAAATTCAGCAGCGTGTAAATACTGGAAGAGCATCTTCCAGAAAAAAAATGGAGGAAGTATGCAAATGCACAGCACTATTTGCATCCTTCTCCCAAAATAAAAATTGTGTGTAGACATACCCGAAGTGACTGAGCCGTTTAGATCAAACAGACTAAATATTAGCCAAAAATACATGAAAAACATTAAAGTAGTATGCCAAATCACACAAAAAGAAACCATCAGTTCCATTCTTTGTTTGACATGCACTTGCAAGTCTTGCCGGTGATGATGGGAAGAGAGTGTGTGCTTTTCTAAGGACTCCTCTTCTACTCAATACTCTGGATTTCCTGGATTTTCCTAGTAACATTATTTCATCAGTGCACAGGTCTAAACTTAGTGCATACTGAATTTACTATTTTTGGCTAGGAAAAGATCCTCTTAAAGATGACAAGAGCCAATATGTACTACTGTCACTCTGATTGTCAAAGTAAGTATCTGCACGGTGGTGTGGGTTTTTCTCCTTTTCTTGTTTTTAAGAGATAGCAAAATTAAGTCAATATGTTTAAGGGACATTTACACAGCAGGTACTGGGTTCATAACAATAAATATAAATTTGTCTTGATGAAAAGGCTATTTTTTTCATTGTTCCCAAGTCCCCAGACCATACTTAGGTTTCACCTTTTGGTCCCTTTCATTAAATATGATTTTCAATCCATCAACCTAATGGAGAAGGAGATTGTGCATTAACGTCTCTGTCAAATACTCCTTTGCTAAACCTTTATGCGGGTATATTCAACAAAATTAGGGCAGAGTGTGAAAGTAGTTCTTTCTCTATTAAAAGCACTTCTCCCCAAGAGGTCCTTGGCTCACATTATGCATCAACAGAATGACAGAGTTCAGTTTTAAAAAAACCATCTCCAAACCTTTTTGGAACTACAGGAGTGAAAAATATTAAAAACCATTAGTTTTCTCTCACTAAAGATTATTTTAAAAACAGAACTGAATTCTGTTTCTAAATTAATGGTAAATGAAACTTTCCTTTTCTGGTAAATTGACCAGTGGGCATTATCTACCAAGTGAGCTGCTCTGTTACTCATTGCAGATTAGCCTTACTGTACTCCTCCAGTCAGAACTACAGTGCTCCGTGGAAAAGATGATTAAAAATGTTGTACTGAAAGAAAGCTGAGAAATGAATCCTTTTGTGCATTTTTCATCATTAGCACCTTTCAAATTTAGCCTAAACTAATTAATGAAGATATAAATTGCATATATTTGTATATTACAAATCTGGAAACAACTACCTTTTTCAATTTTATACAGGGTGAACTTTTCTAATCGGTGCACACTGGTCCAGCAACATCTATGATCCAGCATGAATTTAGTCAGCTGGATATCTACTTATCATGGGGGTGGCCAAGTTTCCTGTGATCCCATAAAGTTAGTTTACCGCCATCAATCCTGGCTCTCAATGTTCTGTGCTGTTATTTAGCATTTACCCACCCCTAAATGTTTTCTAATATCCCAGTAAGCAGTGGAAGTGTTGGTAAAGTTGCTAGACAATATTAACCTCCTGTGGCCAGGGAAATTCTCTGGTGTGGCAGTGGTCAGGTCCCAAGGGTGCTGGACTAGAGAGGTTCAACCTGTAATAGTAAAATTGGTTTCTAAATTCAGATTTAGGCCAAAAAAAAAAAACAAAAAACAAAAAAATACAGCCCTTGTCAGCAGTAACTTTTTAAAAAAAGAGTAATATAACTATATGACAATTCCAGAACGCAGGGCAACATACGTAGTTTAGATTCTAAAATTAAACACTATGATTTATTGACTAAACTTGAAATTGTTACTCCAAAAAGGGGTCCACTTACAGCCAGAGACTAATCCCACCATTCTCATTAATAAAAGTAATTAAGTAAACGTGTCTAAGAATTTAGTTTTGGTCAAAATACAGCACTGTAAGTTACTACCTTTACTCACTAAATTTTGCAGGATAATCTGTCCAGATATCTACAGATCCAACTTCTCACTTTCTGTGCATTAGTTTCTTTTCCTCAGTGCAGATGACCTGGAAATCAACAGCCAAGTCTATCAATGAGATGTAAATATAATGATGTATTGCCAGCTATTAACCTCTACCCAACAACATTTGATTGGAATAGTTTTCAAATGCTATTTCTTGATGTCTGGCTATGGGAACTTGTGATAGGTAAAATACTGTGTATTGAAAAGCAGACTTACCAACAGCTTTCTTTCTATACATTACCATTAGTATAGCAGACTATTGCTAAACAACCTATTTACAAATGTAAACTATGCAATTCAAATTTTAAATAAATAAAACTGTATACAATCTCTACATCATGTAATGATTTAAGAATGAGGTAATATAACCCAGCTGATTACATCTTTCACCATTGGGCAAGTGATTTATGCATATGGCGCTGAAAAACTCTGATGAAGGAATGAAATCCTTGGCTCACTCTGTCCACTTTGTAGGGTCTTGCTTGATTCCAACCTCCCTTTATGCTGGATAAGTATGTAAAAACTTCTTAAGCTTTGTTGGATAGTCTGTCATCACTCCAGTGGCTCCCAAATCAAATGCTCTCTTATATTCTTGTTCTTCATTTAGTACCCAAATATACACCTAAAAACAAAAGTGCAAAGGGACTTATTATCTAAGTCATCACCAAAATTAAAGAAATTGTGCACAAAAATTAAAGGAGGAAAATGATGATCTAAGTAGTTTCCTATAAGTGAAAGGAGAAGCCCGGCATATCAGGGTGGTCACATCAACATAACATCAACAGCATACATAAAAACAAGCACGTGACTGCAAATCTAGGAGAAGTTTTCTAATACAAATGACACAAACTTCAGCTTCTAATGGTCTACAGAAGAATGTGCCTCTCTCTGTTCAGATGTTCCCAGTTAGCAAAACTAGTATTAACTTTGCATCAGTTAATAAGAGACAAATCAGTCACCAGGTTTTGTAGTGGTTTAAAACAATCTAATATGAAAATAAGTATTTTAATAAAATAAAGAAAGGTTTTCACTTAAAAGAGCTATTTCCAAGAATCTAAATACAGCCAGTCCCCGAGTTACAAACGCATCGACTTACAACCCTTTGTATTTACGACCAACCTCCTATACAGCCGGAACCCGAGTTACGAATGAAATCCGCACTTACGAACAGCGTGGCTGTATGTAAGTGAATGTAATCGGACTTACGAACAGATAGAGTTACGACCTAGTATTTGGTACGTAACTCATTCGTAAGTCGGGGACCGGCTGTATTTCCTTAGAGTACATGTGCTGGGTAAAGAGCTTCTATGGCCCTCCTGCACTCTCTGCATAGAACCTTATTAGAAAGGTCATTTGATTTGAAATCTATTAAAAGCCTTTTCATATTAAAATATCAAACAGGAAGTGAAAAGTAAACTACAAATATCAGTGATCAGATGCAAGGTTTCACTTAATCCACTGCAGTTTTTATAAATACTATAAGGATTTGAATGAAGACAATGCCTACAGTAAACTCTATACACAGAAAACTACTTTAGTAATTAGGAGTATCTGAAGTTTCAGGGGGTAGCCAAGTTAGTTTGTTACAGAAAAAACAACAACAACAAATGGTCTGGTAGATGTAGATGGTATCATGAGCTTTCAGATGACCGGTCATCTGAAGAAGTGGGCTGTGAAAGTTCATGTTACCATCTACACGTTTTTTTAGTCTATACAGTGCTACCAGACCACTTGTTGCTGTATCTGGGTGGTCTAAGTTCTAATTGCCTTCTAAGGTCTAATTTTACGAACATGGGGAGTGAAAGTGGGAAGATGGAGGCAAACTTTTAAGAATATTAACAAAATGCCATGTTGACTATAAAGCAGCTTGACTTCTAGTTTTACCACATGTACCTGAATGCCTCGAGCAGTGAGGTGATCAAATAATGCCTTCCTCATTAACAACCTGCAACAGGAGAAAAAATATTAGTTTTACAGAGCCCAGATGTGCCAGATGTGCAAAGTCTCAACATCTGAATGTTCTGTGGAAATTGCTCCATGTCTCACAGTTTCATGGACCTCCAATGAGGAATTCTGTTTAGAAGCCCAAGTAATAAAAACTTCCAATCTAGCTACAAGCTAGGAAGCACAGAAAAAGCCTTTCAAACTACAAGTTGAACCTCTGTAGTCCAGCACCCTTGGGACCTGACTGGCGCTGGACCAGAGAATTTGCCAAACCGTGGAAACTCAATATTGTCTAGCAGCATTACCAATACTTCTACTGCTTACTGGGCTCTTAGAAGAAATGTAGGGGTAAATTAGAGCTAAACAGCAGCACAGAACATTGAGAGCCTGGACTGGTGACTGTAAACAAACTTTATGGGACCATGGGAAACTTGGCCACACCCTTGAGACATCTGGCTAACTAAAATCATGTTGGACCACAGATGTTGCTGGCCAGAGTGTGCCAGATTTGAGAGGTTCAATCTGTATTTGCATTAGCAGTGTATTTTTACAATTCATTAACTCTTTTCTACACAATCAAGCTCAACTCCAGGTAGACATCCTTTTTTAAAGGGTCTTATTTTATAGCACCACCCCTCTATGTTAATGTCAGCGAAATATGAATTGACCACCACCACCAATAGCCAGGATTCTTATCTGATTTATTCCCACAGAATAATCCTCTTAAGTCTCAAGAGGAACTTCATCCTTGATGCTGATAAACAAGATACTTTTCTTAAGTGACCATCCTTTAGAGAATTTGCCTGGGGAGCGCAGGGTGATGGGCTCAAATCCCATCTCTGCCTCCACCCATCCTGGGAGCAGCCAAACAGCCAACACAGGATAAAAGTCCCTCTGAAGGCAAGGTCAGAGGTGGGGTAGGTTCTTGAGTGGACTAGGCCATACAGCATTTGCCTAGGGAGCACAGGGTGGTGGGTTTAAGCCCTGGCTACCCAGGGGAACATGTGGACAGCCAACACAGGCTTCCCCAGGGCTAGACCTGGCTCCCGCATTAGGAAAGCAGGATCAGGGACCCTCCAAAGGGTTTTTAGATCTTTACTTGAGGTTATAGAAGGAATGAGACACAAAGACTTACTAGATCCAGTGTCTCTCCTGAAGAGGACACACATTAATCATCATCATGTAAAGGTCCAACAAAACCGTGCAGGATATCTTGTGGATACAATGAAATGGCCACATGAAGTAAAGGGGCCAGATTTTGAATTGATTCAAGCCCATGAAAATTGAGAGTTAACTCGACTAAAGTAAATGAAATTATTCAGGATTATTTTATGGGTTTATGTGCGATAAGAATCTGCCTAATGGTTGTGCCCCTTTGAACAGGTTTCACTGTATAAATGTATGTGTGATATTAACCTGCAAAAGATACCCCCATATGCTACAGGAGATGCATACTGCTATTGCCTCGGGTCTACAAGATACCAAAATTTGACAATATATAAAATGTGGCTAGTTTCACAGCAGTAACTGTCCTAGTCACTTGATGCAATAATCGCAATGCATGCAAAAAATGAAGTGTATCAGGGAAATATTCAAGTCTTACACATCAGCAAGCCAGATAACCAATTTCTGGCTTCTTGTCATCTTCTCTGGTTCTTTCAGCCTAAGAAAAGAAAAAGGAATTTAAGTTTACCTCAGCACAGAAAAGTGTCATTTGTGCTCGATCAGGTTTGTGACTTCAAAAGTAGTTTCTTTATCATTCACAAAAGTGTGGGAAGAAAAGTCTTTCTCTGGTTTTGAGACCAGCTACTTGGATTGTACCACATAGGAGAAACATTTTACTTAGGTGAAAGGCAGGAGAGATGGAAACATAGGGTGTGTCTAGACTACAATAATAGCTGCTTCATTTACATCAAAATGGCTGCCGCACCATGCAGATCAGCTGTTTAGCAGCACAGTGGTAGTCTGGACTCTCCGCGGTCGACAAGGGAAGCCTTTGTCGACCGCCTCGGTAAACCTCATTCCACAAGGCATAACGGGGCGGTCGACAAGGACTTCCCTTGTCGACCGCGGAGCGTTCAGACTACCGCACTGTGCGTGATTATTTAAATCGCCGCTTCATTTCCCTTTTTCGAGTACACTAACATACATGGCTAGACGTACCCATAGAAGCAATTTTAAATAATGCTTTGGGCAAAGGAATGAGAACTCAAGAGATCCTGAAATATAACATGCTTTCTGACTTTCATTGACTTGCTTTATCCCCATGTCAGGTTTTACATTAATAAAAGGTAGGTAGATGATGTCAGAATAATTTATTTTTGCAGCACTGAAGAATGGGGAGGAGGGATAGCTCAGTGGTTTGAGCATTGGCCTGCTAAACCCAGGGTTGTGAGCTCAATCCTTGCGGAGGCCATTTAGGGATTTGGGGCAAAAATTTGTCAGGGATGGTACTTGGTCCTGCTGTGAAGGCAGGGGACTGGACTCAATGACCTTTCAAGGTCCCTTCCAGTTCTAGGAGATAGGCAATCTCCATTAATTTAATTTATTTATAATGTATCACTATATAAAAGCTATATAATGCTCTTTAACTAGCATTGGTATAATTGGCATTTGCAAAGACAACTACTTTTCTCTGTGGGAGGATAGATTAGGGATCCTGCTATAAACATGAAATATACTGGTTGCACATAGTTGAACATAAACAAATCCCACCACTAATCACTAAAAACAGTCAAGGACGTCAAGTAGACATTTCTTAATGAAAGAACAGAAATTTAGCAAGACTTCTGCTTAAATGCACACTGCCCCCCCCAAATCAAAATACACAAGAGAATGAATTAATTAATCTCTCTCTCAAAGATATAATTTTACATTTATATGATGCCTTTCACCAAAAGCATTTTATCCAATAATACAGTAATTATTTCTCTCATCTCTGTAAGGCAGACACTTCATAGCAACCCACACAAACATTTTGAACAATCAGGAGAAAACATCTGAAATCAATTACCCAAACTGGCCTGGACTCTGAAGCCAAGCCCTCTACTCTTGCTTGAAGTGTAATGGAATCTTTAGATATTTAAACAGGATCTCTAACACAAATAGCCAAGACACTAATTTTCCCCGCTATAATCTGAAGAGATTTTCAGCAGAGCTGGTTTCTTGTGACGTGCTGGGACACCGATTAAATACTAACGGGAACAATGCCACACATTAGTTCACTAATACTACTTATTTCAGCATTCAGATTTCCTTGGAAGTCTCCTGTGAAAAAGTATTGTCCCAAACTGACCCTATATAGCTTCAGAAATTTAACTAGATCAGTGTCCAAGATTGCATAGCCATTTTATTGCCTTGGAGTTATCTCACTGTTAGGATACCCTGATGAGCATGTACATCACTTACTTCAGGATGATTGAAGGCATCGGAATTTCTAAGAATTCCTCCCTGATGGGAATGAATGGCAGCAGACCAGTGTAAAATAAGCCAACAAGCAGCAGGACCCGTTGCAAACAGAAAAGGATAGGAATATCAGCATTCTGTAAAGACAGTAGAAAAATAATGCAAGTTATTTATCAGATTGTTTTAGTACAAAAGCTTCAGCAATCTTCAGTGAATCTGTGTGTTCTAAAGTGCAACATTTATGCTTAAAAACATAAAACATCTGACAGAGTTGCCAACTGTCTAAGCTGGCTGTGTCTGCTCTTGATTTTTGCAGTCCCAGCTAAAGTTCCAAGCAATCAGAAGTTCTAGCACTCTACTGCTGCTAAACCAAGCTTGATGAAGGGGAGGGTTTCAAGACAGCCAGTCATTGCCTGTGGTCTGCATCCAATTTCTGTAATCTGGTAAAATTCTTAAGGAAAACCAGGATCGTGCTCATGCACTAAGTATCTCCGGTCTTTCACAGTTCCATTACCATCTGAACTACTCATGCACAGAAGGGCACTATCCAGTTTCATAGAACAGATGAGCAGAGCATTGTCCCAGAAAAACAGAAGGGAAAAATCCAGGCATCTCTGGGTACCTAATGGAGTGTGGTTCTGACTGAATTCAAGGTAGCCACCCGTCTGGGAAAAATTAATGCAAATAAGAGAAACCAGCTGCCATGCTAGCTATCTGGCTCTGCTATGACTGGGAAACAAAGACAACCAGAAAATAAAGACTGAGGAACTCAAGAGAGAGCAGGATTCAGAGGACAGACCTGAGAAAGTTGGTACTAGTCCTTACTCCTTCCCCACAATCCACGCCATGGCTGAATTTCCCTGCTCACCTCACTAATTTTGTTTTCCTACAGTATTACTGATCCTGTATAATAGATATATGCAATACTATTTGGCAGTGGATATATCTTGCTAAAAACCAAACAAGCCAGAGCTCATCTACACACAAAAGTTCCACTGCTTTAACTATAAAGTGGTACAATTCTCACCTTTCAGACAAAACCATACCAGTATTAAAAGTGCTTTAACTGATATAGCTTATTCCTGTACAGGAAGAGGAATATGCTGTATCGGTTTAAGGCTCCTTTAGATGAGTATAAGGGACTGTCTATATGAAAATTTAGTGCTGACAAGCTGGGGTTCAAATTACACCCTCCTTAGCCTGCTGCACACTAAGTGTCACTGTGGATCCTCCTGACACATGCTGGAGGTTCTGTAGTGCAATATGAGCCAACCCACATTGAAATGCAAGTAGATTTAAGCACACTAGAGAACTATTAGGACACATCATCAGGATTTGCATGGATAATTAGTGCCCAACACCCCAGCTTGCCATGTACTGAGCATACAGACAAACCCTAACTGCACCACAACAGGGTAGTTGTCCAAATTTAACTACTTCAGCAGAAAAAAATACACCCCCCAATCAAAGCAGTTAAATTGGTGCAAAGACATTGTAGATCAAGCCTAAGGCCAGGTCACCACTTGTGGGAAGATTGACACTGTGGCAGTCGATCTTCTGGCATTCGATTTAGAGGGTCTAGTAAAGACCGGCTAAAATTGAATGCTGAGGGTGTGAGGAGTAAGGGAAGTTGACAGAGTATGGCATCAAGACTTGGCTTAAAGGTACATTGACTCTAGCTATGTTTTTACTAGGGATGTGCACATGTACCCATGTAACTGATGAGCCCAGACTCATCAGTTAACCTCATGGTTAAATGCAGTCCCCAACCCTACTGCTCCCACAGAGCTGCCTCTCCCACTGCGCTGCTGCCTCTGCTGAGGCAGCAGCATGGGGTGAGGGTGGGGGGCAGGCGGGAGTCGGTACATGCAGGGAGCTGGCTTAAAAGCTAGCTCCCTGTGAGCACCAGCTCCTGCCTACCCTTTCCCAACATGTAAACATGTAACTGGTTACATATTTACAAAAATAAGTGCATTTTAACATCCCTATTTTTTACATAGCTGGAATTGTGTACCTAAAGCTGACCTTCCCTCCAAGTATGGACCTGGCCTAAAAGTCCCTCCCACAAACAGGTTACAGTCTAAAGGCATAAGACCAAGAACAGAATAGATACAGTTGTGGGTAGGCCTTATTGCTTAAATGTTTTATCACAGAGCAGGTGAGTGTTCGACAAAAACTGAAGAAGGGTGTGAGTCATTGGTACACCTGAGCTGAAGGCCATTGGTGAGACCAGCAGCACAAATTAAAGAGTAACATGAGAGCATAGAGTGAAGAGAGAACTTTAGTAGGATCTTCAGAGTAGGTTGGGAAGTGGAAGAGCTAGAGAAGCAGAGAGACTTCAAAGGCAGAA